AACCGCGTTGTCACACCAGGGTGAACACAAGAGCCACTACCTGGCTTGGTCTGGTTGGAACCAGAAAGTGTCCCGGGGCGGGGTGCTCTGTTCCCCAGGGTTCTCAAGGCCCCAGGGGTATGGACAAACCCCAACCCATCTCGGCCTCTCTCCATCGGGACCGCTCAGAGCTTCACCTCCCTCCCCTCCAGCACCCCGATACCTAGCAGCTGTTCCAACACTGTCCCCTCCCCATTGGGAATGTCTTGTCGGGGCGGGGCGGCATTGCTGTGATTGCTCGGCCCTGGACCCCCCCACGCACCCTGGCCGGCGCAGAGCTCACTTTCCCTGCTCCCGGCAGGGCTCTGGTGGGCAGGGCTGGGGGCGTTTCGGAGGGCAATTAGCTTGCCCGTCATCTGACTAGATAAAAGTGTGTGAGGCTGGTGGTGGCATCGCCAGCAGCCCCACTGGCAGCCCCATGAACCGACCTGTTTTGCATTTTCAATGACAAAACCATGCCGGGTTGAGCATACAAGTGGAAAAATCCTATTTGTCACCTGCTGTTGATGTATGAACACATCGGCACACGGGATTATCTTGGGGAAAATTAGGGTGCCAGCAGGGGTGAGCTGGGGGAGGGGCAGGGTGGAGTGGGAGGGGCGACACGTGGACTGGCACTGCAGAACATGTGGGGGGGCTGTTAGCTCCGGACGAGAAGGAGGAGATAAAGGCTGAGAAGAAGGGAGCTGGCCTCTCCCACGGGGCTGTGCATGGTGGTGGTGGGTCGATGGGGTTCACTGCAGGGGGAGGGGGCACAAAACATACAGGGCAGATCGTCAGCCAGGGTAAAGCTGAGTCCCCGGCAGTCTCTGGTGGCGCACAGCAGCAGAGGATGGGGTCTGAGCTGGCGCCCACTGGCACCAGTGGGCGCACTCGCTGGCAGCGGCATTTCCAAGGCAGCTGCAGCAAGGGACCATGAGGGCAGGCCTGCGTCCGGAGCCTTCCCCACCCCATGCAAGCCCTGCCCCAGCCCAGTGGGCATGTGGCCGTGGGGGGCTGGCGCCTGGCACGGGGGACGTTTGTAAAACGCCAGAGCCAGAGAGACTCCCCCCAGCCCAGGCAAGAGCCTCCGCGGGCCCTTGTGCCCCCTTAGCCAAGTATCTGCGGCGAGTTCCCGGCCTGGCGAGCGGGCGGGCGAGAGCTGCCGAGTCCTGTGCTGCCCCAGACGCAGGGTGTTTAATGAGCTCCTTTGCATACGTACATATAATTTGCATACCACCATAAACTTCAGCTGGCCGGTAACACTCCCAGCCTGTGCAGCAGTGGGGGCAGGGCATGGAGCTGCAGGAAACCGGGCAGCCGGAGATGGAGGGTGGTTTGGGGATGGGGGGTGAGCGCGTGAGCCTGGGGCCTGCACCCCTCGGCCTTCTGGGACTGCCTGTGCTGCTCCCTCGCTGGAGGTGGCAGGACATAGAGACCTTGGTGGAGCAGCCTGGGGGGAGCTTGTCCTGCTGTTCCCCGGGCTGTCCCTGCTCTGCGGCGAGAGGCCCCCAGCCCAGCCCCACCGCTGTTTCCAGGGGGAAGGTTACATGTAACTCTCCAGCGTCCCGCCTGTGTGCTCCACGCAGGGGAGGCGCCCTCAGAGCGCTTGCTGCAGGGGAGGCTTGGGGTCCGACGGCACTGAATGATGCATAAATATCAAGGGGCCTTTTCGAGAGCCGCTCGCCGCACTCCAGAGCATCTGCTGCCGGTGACAGACGCATCATCGTAACAATGACAGATGCCAGGCCCGGGGTAAGGGGCGGGGCTGGTCCTGGGGCTTTCTCAGCCTTCCCAGCTCATGAATTCCTGGGACGGTGCTGCCTTGCAGTCTGTCCGGGATCCGGCTGAGATCTAAGCCTGGAGGAGTCTCCCAAAAGCCCTGAGT